AGTCTTTGGAGAGTTTCACTTTTCTTCTTATTTTTCATGTATTGTTACAAATTAAAGGATCTGAGGCCCCGTTTATTTTCAGAGGTAGAATGGAGGGGGTTCATAGTGAGGGGATTAATAGTGAGTGGATTGTTAGTAAGGGGATTGATAGTGGGGGGATTAAGTAAAATTGTGTTTGTTTTGATGATAGTTGTTAGTGTAGGAATTATTAAATTATTTTTATATAAAATAATAAAACAAATAAAAAAATACAAAAAATTAAACATTAATGTTCAAAAAAAATGCCTAACAGGTAAAAAATAAAAAAAATAATAAAAAAATTTATAATCCCCTCCCTATTTTTCTAATACCACCTCCACCTCCACCTCCACGCCCTCCATCTCAATCCCCTTTTCAACCTCCATCTTAATCCTCTCCTCCATCGCAATCTCTTCCCCAACTCTACAAACAAACACAACACTAAATGGACCTCACCTCCATCATAATCTCATCCCACCATTTACACCCCCAAAACAAACGGGGCCTAAAAGTGCATACTCTCTCAAATCTTATAATTAAAAAATAAGAAAAAAAAAAACCAACATATTTGGTGATTCAAGAGATCTAGAGAGAGAAAAAGTGATGATGTTCGATGATTTCAAGATCGTGTTCGATGAGACCGCTTGAGAGATCATCAGATTTGATTTTTCCATCTCATCCTCCTCATCTTCATCGTGCTCAGCTTTGACAGCTGTCGACGGTGGCGGCGGTGGTGATCACTATCGCCGATCTTCATCGAGCGATGAACACTTTGCCAAACCTCCCTCTCCTCCGCCATCTTCGCTGTGCCGAAGCGGACGCGTGAGATCGATCGCCCTTCTTCTTTCTTTTGACGATCTGGATCTTCTTTAGATCGACAGTGATGGAGGTGGTAGTCAAAGATGAAGAAGATGAAGAGAGAGAGAGAGAGAGTGTTTGGGAAACAAACAAATCAAAAAAAAAATAGTTGTGTATAGTACATATAAATGAGTATTTTGATCATTTTATTTAAGTATATCTTTATCGACAAAGCATTTTAGTGTGAATTTTTGATCAAATAAAATTCAAAATTTAATTTATGAGCCAATGCCCCATTAATAAATAAGAGAAAATGATAAATATGATATCACCCACGTAGATGAAAAAAAAAAAAAAAACCAAGATCACAATAATGCCAATAATATGGTATTATCATTGAGTAGGAGTTTGTTGTTTTTTTTGCCTTACATATATGTAGCAAGGTGGTGTGAGGAGAGTTTATCCTTCCTGTATAAATAGAGTGTTGAATTTGTTTCATGTTAGTCATTTTAATTTAAAAAAGTGTTTAGATTTGGTACGCATATTTAGAGATCTATTTTGGTGATTATTTTAAGATTTGTTAAGTAAAATATTTATGTAAAGAATCAAGATGATTAAATATCAGTAACTATATATTTGAATTAAATTTATATTACAAAAAAATTAATGGTTATTCTTAACAGAGAAATTTGGTCAAAACATCCTCATAATAAAACTTTAATATATTAAGGACAAATATAAAAAGTTTTTCTTGAAAAGTCTGACACATAACCTATGTTTGGGAAGTTGGGTTTGTAGATTTTTTGGCTAAAATAGTCATAAAAAACAAAATAGGTTTTTTAGCCCAAAAAAATAAAACACC